GCTGCTTCAAGACCACGTCTTTCCTCACTGCAGGTCTCAGCTGATGTGGGCTGTGCTAGGCCAGGGCTGGGAGCTGCTGGTGCTGGGAGAGGGAAGGGGAGAGAAGGTGTTGTGCAGAGAGAGGCTGGCACTTGGCTGAGGAGGCTGGTGGGCTTTGGGCTGGGCAGTGGGATGTGGGGCAGGAGGTGCTTTGTCTGCAGGGGGGCTGTGTGCAGGGCTGTTTCTCATGTGTGCCCGCTTTGTGTTTCTCTGTCGTCTCTTCCAGGTGCCCTTTTGAGCTACAAGACATGTCTCGCTGCCAGCCCTGCAACCCTTGCTGCCAGCCCTGCGGGCCCACCCCGCTGGCCAACAGCTGCAATGAGTGCTGTGTCAGGCAGTGCCAGGACTCCCATGTTGCCATCCAGCCCTCTGCTGTGGTGGTGACCCTGCCTGGGCCCATCCTCAGCTCCTTCCCACAGAACACCGCCGTGGGATCCTCCACCTCCGCTGCCGTTGGCAGCATCCTCAGCTGTGAGGGAGTGCCCATCAACTCCGGGGGCTTTGACCTCTCCTGCATCACCAGATGCTACCCTCGCAGATGTGGGCCCTGCTAAAGCTTCTGGCAATGTCCTGGGCCAGGAACCTGCAAGATCTGACAGCATGGTGCCAGGCAGGAGATAGAGCTTTAGGACATTGTGTTTAGAGCTTCATGATGTTATTTTTTTTTTCCACTCTTTCATCTCCTTCCTTTGCCTTCTGTGCCTTCCCAGGCCAGCCAAGCATGAGCTGCTGCCCTCCCTCCCTCTGAAGGGCAGACACCCTTCAGGAGCTCCACTGCATCTTTGCAGCTGCTCTTTGTGCTCTCTGTGATCCACCTTCTTTTCTTCATTATGCTCATTAAATTTTTTGTGCATCCAAGCCTGGTCCTCAGAGTCCTCCTTTTATTCTGTGCATTTTTTCCAGTATGTTCTGTGTAAAAGTTGCAGAAAGCAGAGTGTGGGTCTCCCTGCATGGATTTCAGTTTGTGTTTTTTGCCCTTGCAGCTCTCAAAAAGATCCCTGGCTTTTCCTTAACCAAAGATCTTTAGGGACACCACGGGTCTAAAGGGTGGTAGAAATGGGAAAGAGAAACAACAATGTCAAGGGAAAGCCCACAATCTCATCTCTTCCTTTTGCTCCCCTCCAATAGCCTGTTCAGGGTCTACAAGCAGTACACGTCATCAATGGCAGAAGACACCCATACCTCTTACAGTGCCTCAGCTCCTGGCTGGGCCCAGCTGCTGTCCAGACATCCAGGGCTGAGACAACTCTCAGGTTTGGATCAGTCTCTGCCATGATCAGGCTACTCAGTGCAGTCTCCATTCCTTGAACCCAACACCCCCAGGGGCAACTGGAACTCCAGCAGAGCAACCAGTGCCCAAAGAGCCTCTTTCTGGCCACCACACCTGCAGGCACAGGCAGAGGGTGACTGGGCATATCATGCACAGAGCATCCCCACAGCCACTTAGGCTCTCTGCTAGTCAGCTATCCCTTGATTCCTCATGCATTTTTTTCAGGTGTCCATCTATTATGAACTGGAGCAAACAACTTTTTGCTTCATCATTAATTCCCATATTTGGGTATGGTTTTCAGAGGCATCTTCTTACACCTTTGACATCAGCC